TATTCTAGGCTAACATTTACATTAATAAAAACTGTAAGTAGATGCTTAGATTTTTTTTTGTTATATATCCTTTATTTACTGTTCCCTGTATGCACCAACAGTAGGTGAGTAGGGTAGGTCTCACTGTTTTTTTTAATATGCTTTGAGAAACCAAAGGACAGCCATTTCTCAAATCCCCAAACCTTCCCATCATGTGGCTTCCACACCTTGAAATTCTACAAATAGAAATTTCTTTGGTTAATAAGTGTAGCTAGTGCTAGGAGTTTCTCCTTTTTCCCTTTTCCAGAGTTATATCCCCTGAGCAAACGCATGCTAAAAGACTTGGAAACTGCAGGGGCAACTAGGTGGCACAGTGGATAGAGTACTGGCCCCTGGAGTCAGGAAGACCTGAGTTCAAATCCAGCCTCGGACACATAATATTCACTAGTTGTGTGACTGTGGGCAAGTCACTTAACCCCAACTGCTGCATCCAAAAAAAAAAATCAACAAATAAAGTTCACTAAGCACTGGCGGCCCAGTGGATAGAGCACTGGCCTTGGAATCAGAAGGACCTGAGTTCAAATTCCACCTCAGACATTTAACACTTACTAGCTGTGTGACCCTGGGCAAGTTATTTAACCCCATTGCCTAGCAAAGACAAATAAACAAACAAACAAAAAAAGACTTGGAAAATGCATAGCTTTTCTAGGTGACCTTTTCCTGGGTAAAGGGGGATTTTAATATTCCATCTAGTGCCTCAGAGAAATTTGTTGGCATTAAGGAAAATAATTAGGCAGAAATTTGAGTACTCTGTCAGTGCTTCCTCTGGAGAAGGTGGGGAAACCTTTCTCCTCAGTGTTTGAAGGAAAGACAGCAAAATGTACAATAGGTGAGCTTGGAATTTCATTGCTGCTGATTTTCTTGAAGATGCAGAATGATGGAACTCTGCTCCCTGAGCAAGTTTAGGTGAGACCCAGAGGTTGGCAGCAGTTTAAAAAAATTGAAAAGGTAATACCAAAACCCTTATGAGGAGTCCTTCCTTTTTCTCAAACTGCATCAAAAAAGTTACAACTAGGAGAATGTGTCCTTTCAGCCATGAAAAGCCCTGGAGGCTTTCTTTTTCTTTAGTAATAGAGACTGAATAAGACTGTCTGTGGCAGAGGGTCTATCCATGACTCAGGTTTTTGTTGTTTGTTTGTCCTTTGTTCTCGAAGAGGAAGGAGATGTCATGACTTGCAAGTGAATTGGATTTAAGTGAGAGAGGGCTGTGCAAAGTCACCAGCCTCACTCTCTCCTCCAGAGCCATCTGGGTCCACTGGCCACATATAGATACCAGATACCAGTTGCTTGAAGGAACAAGGATCTACAAGAGGAACTTATGAAAAGCTGCAGGACGACTTACGGTAGAAAGCAGTACCTGATGCTACCTAGAACTACCACAGGAAGTGATGGGGTTGAGATCTGGACCCCAGAAAAGAAAAACCCTAGACTTTCCCACATGGCCAAATCTCTGGATTTCGCCTGAGGCTATAATCCCATCAACTGGCCTTTCATTATCGCCTATGCCCAATCTCCCAATTCTATTACCTAGCCCTCCCTAGTTTATTACCTCCAGATGGCCCCACCACTTCCTACCATTAATTCTATCTAGCCTCCAATCTCCCTTGGCCATGTGGTCCAGGTCCCAGGCGTTCTGTTTACCCCAGTTCACTGGCCACTCCCATCCAAATCTTCCTGACCTTCCTCTTCCACTCACCCCAAACTACTTGGCCACTCCTAGATCCCTCCCACAGCCTTTTTGTATATAAGGGTCATCTTGTCTCCATTAAAGTGCTCAGATTCTTAAAATCTAGCCACTGTTCAGATTTTTACAATGTGGCCTATGGCTTAGTAATGTTCAGATTCCTTAGGAGTCTGGCCAATATGGCGGATGTTCTAATAAACTTTGTCTTTGGCTGAAAGAAGGATTGGGTTGAATTCATTTGGGCAGGACCTGCATATTGTGATATTGAAGTCCCAGGACCCTTGAACTCCTAAACTGCAACAGAAGCATGCAACAGCAATGCCTTGCTCTGCCTCCTAGTTGAGTCATACCTGATGATACTAGCTGGGAGCCTCTGGGGCAGAACTTTCTATTTGTTACTATAGGTGACTGAGACTACTCAAAAGACTTTGGGTGATGGTTTCTCACTGGAAGGTGTCTGTTATATTCCAAGAATTCTATTTCATTATCTTCCCACCTTTCTATACACTTTCTCATTTTTAATTTTATGACTTGTGTGTTTGTAAGTAGAGAGATAGTCTCAGTATCCTGAGCAAAGAAGGGGAGTGATATCACACAGAAAATACCAGGTTTTCTGAATGGCGCTAAGAGTCAAAAGAATAATCCAAGTCCCCAAAGGGTCCTCTGGCCCTCTTTGTCATAAGGCCTTTTTTAACATAAGGGTCACACATATTTCTTGTTTCAAAATACAAATACCATTAAGATGGCTAACAAATTAAAATATCCACCAGTCATCTTAATATGAAATAATTAAATCATTTCATTGAAGGAATTGGGAGTTTTGAGGGTGAGAGAAACACAAATGCATAAGATTTAGAGACAGAATCATAGTCTGAGATGGAGACAGTGCAGGACTTAGAAGTCTCTATTTATATCCAGCCTCTGAAGTCTTATTGACTGTGTGACCATATGCAAGTCATTTATCTGCTCTAAGCTTGTTTTCTTATTTATAAAATGGTTAAAATAACTGTAGTATCTATCTCACAGGATTGTTGTGTCTCAAATGAGATAATTTACTTCGTAAAGCACTTTGTAAACTTTAAAGCACTATATATGTTATTAACAACTAATCAAAACATTTACAAATGAGGAAACTGAAGCCTCGCGGTATAGTGTTTTGCCTACAATTGCCCAGATAATAAAGAACAGAGCTGATATTTGAACACATGCCTTCTAACTCCAAATGCTGTGCTCTTGCATTATATTTCAGATGGCTCAGCATCTCAAATATGCTGCTCTCTGGAAGGAAAGGCCTGAGTGAGGACTGGGTGGAGGCAAAATCCAGATAGCCAGACAGTAGAGAAGGAGATACATAATGGGTTGAGAAAAGAGTTTAGGAAAATGGGCAGGAAACTCTCTTAGGGCCCCATCTTATATTTGAATGTCTGGTTATGATCACTGTTTGTCACCCTACTGTGTTTAGTTGAGCTTCTTCTTCAACTAATCAGTGAGAAGTAGCTGTGAGGCATAATGGGTCAACTGAGCTTGGGGTTAGAAGACCCAGGTTTTACATCTTGCCTCGAATACTTATTCTGAGTGGTCACTTCTCTGAAATTCACCTATCCCCTTTTGTAAAATGCCAACAGTGACATACTACCTATCTGGGCTGCTTCGAGGAAAATGCTTTGTAAACCCTCAAGGCACTGTATAAGTAAAAGCCAACCCAGCTCTGGGAGAAGGACAAACTATCTGCTTTGGTTCCTTCAAGACTGCTCAAATCCCAGCTTCTTCTGCAAGAGGCTTTTCTTAGTTCTTCCACCCCAAGGCTAGTGTCCGCCATGCAGATTAACTCCAACTTATCTTGTATATAACTAGTACAAATATAGTTATTTACCCTTAGTCTCCTTCGTGAAAATGTGAGTTTCCTCAGGGTAAGGACTGTTTTTGTTTTTAAATTTTATTAATTTATTTTGATTTATCAATAATCACTTCCATATGTAAGGGCTGTTTTTTGCCCTTCTTTGCATCCCCAGCTATAACCACAGTGCTTACCTTATTTTTGTTGTTGCTCAGTCATTTTCAGTCATGGCTGACTCTTCACGACCCCATTTGGGGTTTTCTTGGCAGAGGCACTGGAGTGGTTTGCCATTTCCTTCTCCAGCTCATTTTACAGATAAGGAAACTAGGCATAGTTTAAGTGACCTGCCCAGGGTCACACAGCTAGTGTTTGAAGTCAAATTTGAACTCAGATCTTCCTGACTTCAGGCCTGGCACTCTATCCTCTTTGCCACTTGGCTGCCCAATATAGTAGTGCTTAATAAATGCTTATTGACTGTTTCCCAAAGCAAAATGAACTGAATTGGCATGTTCTAGTAAGGTTCCTTTTCTTTTTTCTGCTTGTTAACAACTAGCTAGTAAAAGATATATTAATGCTACTACCTTTGAAGATTCCCTTCTCATCTAGGAAGTTGAAATAATTTCTTTCTTTAGCAGATTGGTAAAAGAATGTGGGCCCATCTAAATGAAGGCCTTGAGCAGGAATTTAAATTCCTGGATCATAATTTGAACTTCTCTTTTTTTCTTCCTCAACATTTAAATTTTATAAATTAGTTAATTGGAGATTTTGTAATAATTAAGTTGGCAGCCAGTTTAAAAAAGACCAAGAGTTATTATTATTGATCAAAATCATGCACTTTTAGGAATGGAAGTAGTATTAGAGATACTTTATGGAAAATAAAACTGAACCATCGGGAGCTGAAGTAACTTACCAAAGGTCACCAAACTAGAGAAGTATTGTCTGTGAGAGCTATTGAGAACATGTGTCACCTCAGTGGATATAGGGCTGAACCTGGAATTAGGATGATCTGGGTTACTTTGTCAGAATGACTTCTCTCTGAGGAGCTAACCAGAATCCTGGGCAATCTCCACCCCCAAACTCTCTCTGCTCCAGTGATCAGAACCTTTTGTTTCTAACCTATGGCTTCTTCTGGCCTTGAGCCTCTTTTTGCCTTTGACTATGTCTGACACTAGGTACTTAGGTGGACCCTTGCCTTGCCTACCCACAACTACCCTTTATAGCCAGTCACCTGACCACCTTGATCTTGAAGACAGTTGCTCTTGGGGAACCTCTCTGCATGGTGGTTTATCTCCCTGACAGGTTGCTGACAGAACACACAACTACTTATAAATAATGCAAATTAATATACATATATATGACATCCACAAAAGGACATACAGGGTAGCCTTTGGTACAAGAACCACAGGATTTTTGAAAATGGGCACACAGTGTGAGAAGAGCTTAGAATCCAAGAAACATTTTAATTTCACTTCCTGTTTGAAGACAGGAAGAGTGTGGTACATAAATCAATATACATTTATACACATATCCAAAAGGTCAGAAAAGGCATCCTCAAGATAAGAACCACAGAATTTTAGAAAATGAGCAAACAGGGTGAGAAGAAGTTAGAATTCCTAAGAAAACATTTAATTCCTTTTTCTGTTTGAAGACAGGAAGAGTGAACTACTTGAATATCCACTCTTTATATACACATATGCATTATATATATGTTTAATATATATATGTATGTATTTAAAAAAGAGAGAGGGTAAGCCCAGGCATAAAAGCCATGGAATTTTATAAAATGGGTAAAAAAGGTGAGACACGTTAGCATTTTGGAGAAAATATTTAATTCTACTTCCTGTTTGAAGACAGGAAGAGTAAGCTTCATGAGGAAGCCCAGGATGAACTTTGTACCTCAATGCTCAGTAGTCTAATAACTGTAAACTACAAAACACATTTTTCCTTAAAAACACATACATACACTAAAAGTTTTGAAAAGTACATTTTCATTCATATCTGAACTTTGAGGTCAAATTAACAACTAACCTTTGTTATCATTCATTAAAAAAGAGTGTTCTAAAGTTTTAATGAATTTCAGTTTGAGCTGTGCTTTGAAGTTTTGATACCACGCAAGCAGTATTTTTCTTCTTTCAATCTTTTCTTGTAAGCTCATATTTTCCTCTTTTTTAAAAATAGCAGGAAGCTCTTTCCAGTCTTTAATGAAGATAAAGGGGGCCCCCATAGCCTTAAGAAGCTGCAGTGGAGTGCTAGGAGATGTGGATGCATTCCCACAATTGCCTGGTGTCATTACATCTTCTACAACAGGAATGGAGCCATAGGAACAAGCCTCATAAATTCAGTAACATTCTGTGTTTACTCCTACAGGACACAACATGAGATCACTCTGAAGTAAAGCATCTTGATACTTCTTCAAACTTTCAGTTGTTTCTTGAGGCTTCCACCTAGAAAATAAGAAAAGGAATGTGAATTCTCACTCCATACTAATTCTATTCTTCAGAAGAAAAGATTATATCTTAATATCAAGAACTACAAATGGTTAAAAAAGAATATGTTGGTAAATAAGAAAATAAAAATCTTATCTAAAAAGAAATAAAAGCACTGTGACTTGTTGATGTTTAAGTCCATAATAAAAAAGTAAAATTTTGAGACTATCACTACAGATATTATAATTACCAATCTTTTTATCCAAGAGCTTTTTAAAAACTCTTATGGCTAATATTTAAATATATTTTTCATGTTTTTCTCTCATGACTGATTCAAAGAGTACTGTACTATTCATATATAATACTAAATTTACTTTAAAAGCTGAACTGGGAATAGACTTTGATAGTCTGGAACAAAATATCTACTAAAATAATTTTAATTAAAACTTCCTGAAGGTCTGGATCAAGAGTACAATAATAAATTTTTTTCTAGCTAATTTTACTGAAGGATTTTTTTTTAAAAGAAGAGAATCAGGCAATTCAACTCCAATTTCCTACAAAAACAAATTTTAAAAAATGATTCTAAAATTTTTGAAATGAGAATCTTACATTGATATTCATGGACACTGTTCTAGGTTTTTCCTCCTTAAAATATTTATTCACATATTGCCATGCAAAAAATATGAGATGGTCCACAATTCTTGGAATCATTATAATAACATTTATTTGACACTTAGGATGTGTTAAATGAAGTAACCAGAAGTTTGGTCTATCAGTTTTTCTTTCCTCCTATGTTTGCTAATTGCTCCTATCCTTCATTTCCCAATTACAAGGTACTGGGGGCACTGAGTTCACAGAAGGTGTGAGGGAATTGATGTAATGTCAGCTACAGAATCCTGAAATAGCATGATGAATGCCAATGAGATGAACACCACATCTTCCTGGCATTCACTACATCTCAAGGATGTCAAATTAACCTAGAAAATGCCACTGAGCCAAGCTCTAGCAAATGGTTTTGCCTTTGACTGCCAGTATTATTCCAAGTCCACCCTAATGGAGCTTCTTTGCCCATCTTAAAGTCCTACCTTGTCTCTGTAAGATGCTTCTAAAAGCTTTTAATACTATTGTATTTTTCTACAGATAAACTATACTGACAGTACAGTGATTATTTCTTGTGAACCTCCATGAATGCCCAGGTTAACAAATCCTTCTGCCTGACTTTAGTAACTAAGGGAATATGCAAAGGAAACAGAACTTACTCTTCTCTGGCTGTAATCCAGCACAACTTATTGTTTTTTATCATGTTTCAAAATGTCCATTAGAGTCTCCCTTGATGAATTTTTATAAATAGTTCCTAAGAAATTACACAAGAATGATCTCTTATCATGCAACAATGACCAACTAGGTTCCACCACAGGAAAATTTCTGTATCTATAAAAATAAACATACAAATTAGTGCATAATATATCATACCATCTTGCATTTCAAAATAGGAATGAAATGTAGATTGAAAGAATAGGAATTATTTTTGTACATAATCTGAATCGTCATTTCTTACAAACCAAATGTTGACAAATCATCTTAAACAAATTACTCATGTTTTTGAATATTAATATTCATTATGTTAATTATTATATCATATGACTCTCTAATATATTCATATGATATACATACATGTTAATGACAGCTATTTCTATATTAGAAAGATTATCTACCTAAGGTGCATTTATATTTCCCTTTTATACTTCCCATTACTAATCTACATTTGTTGTGTAGGTCACATTCAAAGCTTTGCAACAATGACTTGTGCGTAATCCCAGCATGCTTCCTGGTAGGGAGGTTTAGAGGGCAACTAGGCCAAACTTTTGTATACAAGGACTCCCTTTGCAGGTTTCACAATATTCCACAGTAGTGGTACTGTGAGTATCTGTAAATTAAAAGTACATTATCGGGGTAGCTAGGTGGTGCAGTGGATAGAGCACTGGCCCTGAAGTCAGGAGGACCTGAGTTCAAATCCGGCCTCACACCAAACCCTTGACACTTACTAGGTGTGTGACCCTGGGCAAGTCACTTAACCCCAACTGCCTAAAAGCAAAAATTAAAAAAAAGTACATTATCATAAAAAGTTGGTATGAATTCGTGAACACTTTTAAATTAACTTGTAGTTTGTTAATCACAATGGCATTTGAAAAATAGTAATATCTATACACTTGACATTATTCAGTCAACAGAAGGCATTTTGCTTCTTACACTATGTCAAACTGAGTATTTTTTTGGAGCTAAATAAAGAAAAGCAATGATAGTGCATGGGTGCACAGAGATTTGTAATAATGATAGTGGATGCCTGTGGATTGGGGTCCACCAGTTGGGAATCACTGGTCCAGACCAACTCTTTCAATTTACAGATGAGGAAACTGAGTATTAGAGAGGTTAAGTGACCTGCCTACGGTCAAAGAACTAGAAACAGAGTAGAAAGAAGAAACAGATTTCCAGACCAGTGTTATTTCTACCACATTGCCTCTCCAAATGATAAAAAACAATTCTTTCTGCTAGTTAATCTAGTTTTCAAAAATTGCTATTAACAACAACAACAACAAAAACTATATAAGATGGCTTTCAGATTGACTCCTTACCCTTCCAGAAAATATAATAGAAACCTGTTGCATATTGCTAATGTGGATTAGGACAAACCAGAGATAAATCATATTTTTTAAAACCTAAAAAGTCTGGTGTAATATGATTAATCTATAAGGAGAATGCCAGCACTATCTTACATGACTGGTTACCAGGAGGCCCCATGTTATAATATACTAATACCTACCATACTAATATATTCTCTTACTATTGTGTTTTATTAATTATATTGTATTAGATTTAAAATTTTTTAAAATATTTTACTTAAAGTTTTGAGTTCCAATTTCTATTCATCCTTCCCTTCCCTGAGATGGTAAGCAATCAGATATACATTATACATGTGCTTCTGTAAATTTTACCTGTCCCTAATGATCACAGATGGATAACTAATTTTCCTGTTCTGAAAAATCTTTAAACAAAGTTGACTGCATAATCTTCGTTTTAATGGCATAAAGATTAAAGTATTCAATTCTGAAAGACAATGTGATTACATTTTAGACTTACGTGGCTACCCCTAAGGGCCACTGGAAAATATCTTCTCCATTAATCCAGGGGCTATCATAGATTACAAAAAGTATTTCCACAAAGCCTCCATTTTTTTTAAGATATGGACTAATCCATTTGTTGTTGCAATGTTCATTTCCAAGTAAGACAACAGCAACGTGCTGGAGTTTCCGAGTGTCTATTAAAGTTTTTGTATAGAGTAACCACTGTGTGGCGAAAGAGATCTTTGTGTCTTCTCTTCCATTTAAAACAAGCACGACATAATCCACCTCAACTGAAAAGTATCCTGGAATTAGGGCTGGACCAGTGATGAAGCTGTAACATTAGAACAAAGGAACTTGACATCTGGATATGTTAAGACATTTAATCTTCATGGAAAATCTTGTCAAAATTCTGCCCAATTCTTCATGGAAATCTTTCCTATAATTGTACAATTCATGTTCTTTTGAAGCCAAGCTTTAAATGACGGGGTCTGGCTGCAGACTGCTGCCAAATAATCACAGACTAAGCAAAAGCAGCACCCAGAATATTAAGTATTAAGGTCAAAAGCAGAGATACATATCTGTCTTCATAAGCAGTTACTGAGTACCTTCTATGTGTCAGGCAGTGGGATAACAAGGAGCTAATATACTACTGGAGAGACATTTATACATATATATGTATGCAAGCAAAATAAGTATAAAGTCATTTGGGGGGGGATGGAAGAAGGGGAGGAGAGACACTAGAAGCTGGGAAAACCAGGAAGGGCCTCATGTAGGAGGTGGCATTTGAGGTGAGCTACAAAGGAAATGAGGGATTCTAACAACCTCTAAAAAGATGGAATGCATTCCAGGAATGGGAGACAGCCTGAGGAATTAGACAGAGATGAGAGATAGAATGTGATGTGTGAGTAGCAGTAAGAAGACCATTGTGGTTGGACTGATGTGCCAATGAAGGACTCTTCGGTAGTGTCTTAGGGATCTGTGCTTTGGTGTCTGCAGCTTGACATATTATCAATGATTTGGATAAAGTATAAATGGAATAGTCATCAAATTTGTAAAAGACAGAAAGGAGGGGAGGGACAGCTAAAACACTGTAAGACAGTCAGGATTCAAAAAGATCTTGACAGGCTAGACAGAGTTAAATTTAATAAGACAATTTAATAGGGACAATTATAAAATTGTGCACATCAGTTAAAAAAATCAACTTCAGAAGTATATTAAATCCAAGCTATCAATAACTATATGAAAAACTATGAAAAAAACTGTATGAAAAATGCTTCAAATTACTATTAATTAGGGAAATGTAAATTGAAACAACTTTGAGTTTCTGTTTCACACACATCTGATGACAAATACAGGGAAGTGATAATTGTTTAAGAGGCTACAGGAAAACAGACATACACGTGCCCTGTTAGCAGAGCTGTGAATTGGTCCAGACATTCTGGTAGCAATCTGGAACTATGCTCTCAAAGTGACTGAACTGTGCGTGCCCTTTGACTCTGCCACCACTAGCTGGCTTATACCCCAAAGAGATCAAAGAAAAAGAAAAAGGACTTACATGTACAAAAATACTTATAGTAGCTCTTTTCATAGTAAACAAAAATTGGAAACTAAGAAAACTAATCCTTCTACTGGGAAATGGCCAAATTATGGTATATGAAATAAGGAATATTGTTGTACCATAAGAAATGATGAAAAAGTCAGTTTTGGAGGAAACTAGTTGGAACTCCACAAAACATTACAGAGTGAAATAAGCAGAACTAGGAAAACCTTTTATACAATGACACCATTATAGAAAAAACAACTTTGAAAGACTTTAGAACTCGGATTAATGCAATCCATGGGTCCAGAAGACTGAAGACAAAACATATTGGTGATGATCTTTTTTTTTTTTTGGCTGAGGCGATCAGGGTTAAGTGACTTGTCCGAGGTCACACAGCTACCAAGTGTGTTAAGTGTGTGACGCTGGATTTGAACTCAGGTCCTCCTGACTCCAAGACCAGAGCTCTATCCACTGCACTACCTAGCTGCCCCTGAGAGGTGATGAACTTAAAATGTAGAGAAAGACATATTTCCATTCATGGCCAATATGAGAGTTTGTTTTGTAGGACTATTCCTTTTTATGATGACAGTTTTATTTTTCATATATTTTTGTTGTTCTTGTTCAAGGGGAGGAGAGGAGACAATGTCAAGGACAGATAATAAATGCATGCAAAAATAAAAACATTTTTAAAAGTATATGAACCATGTACTGTAAGAGGGTCTTTAAAATGAGGCTGTGAGGATAGTAACAACAACCATAATAATAATTAACATTTATAGAGCACTTATTTTGTGCCAGGCATTGTGGTAAGTGATTTACAATTACTATCGCATTTGATATTCACAATAACTCTGGGAGGTAAGTGCTATTATTTATCTACATTTTACAGTTGAGAAAACTGAGCGCACAGAAGTTAAGTGACTTGCCCAAGGTCACACAGCTAGTAAGTGTCTGAGGATGGATTTAAACTCAGGTCTTCCTGACTCCAGGTCCAGTGCTCTACTCACTGTACCACCTGTGAGAGCAAGGTCATGGAGCAGCTTACTGGCTCTTTGGGATGATCGTGGACTGTGAGCAGGCTCTGTGTATCCAAGTGAGAGAGTCACTTAAAGCTCTGAGACTCAGGGATCTTAAAAGTCATTCTCCCTACCTCTTTACAAGCCACTTTCCTCACAGCATGCTTGAAATCCTTGCAAACTGTATTAGCGTGTATGTGTTTGTGTGGGCATGTGCATGCATGCACAGGTGTGTGTTGGCACCTACTAGCCCTCAACTGAATAGCTGATTATGACTGACCTGATAAGGATAACTGCTTTACAGGACAGCCTTTTTAGACTTACATACACATAACAATTGTGATGTTACTCACAAATCAATTTTACTTAATTTAGTTTGGGGGAAAAAGTTGAATTTAGGCCAAGAAAATGCTGGAGTTTTTGCTCATCTATGTAATGTAAATAACCTGTATGATTTCATTTTTTAGTTCTCGAGCATTTTTACTGGAACATAGAAAATCACAGATAATGACTGCTCTTTAAAGGTATCTCTTTAAATGTAATTAATGATCTGATTAGCATTTATTAAATGTCTACTACGTGCAGAAGACTATTCTAGGTACTTATAGAGCTATCAAGATAAAGAGCAAAATGTACACCATTTTCACATTTGAAGGTGCCTTACCAATGACTTTCAACTAGAGTTTAGCTGAACTTACTACTTTTCTTTAAGTTGAAAAGATTTGAGATTTTTCCATAGTGGTGTTCCCTCTGATGCAATAGACTGTAGCCCTTCCATTTCTTAGATGACAGTAACAAAGATTGATCATCAGAAAGAAAACCTCCTAGCAATGAATTAAGGCATTACATATACTTTTAAATGCCACTTCAATCCGTCTTAAAATAAGTTGTTATATATTTCCTGAGATCACATATTCTAAAATCCTGAATGTCAAAAAAAAAAAAGAGGGAACTGTGATATAGACAAAGTTCACTGACCTACTAACATTTCTGACTACTTATTAATATGAAAAATATGAGAAAATCAAGAACATTTTACAAGAGACAATTCTTGACATATCCACAACACAGTAGAGAACCTTTGAACCCCAGTCTGACAGAAATGGACAAGGAAAAAGGCAGGTCACTCCTCGTGGCCCGAAGAATGAAAGAAAGGTAACAACTAAGGAGTTTAATTAGCCCAGGTCGGTATCCCTGGGAATTTCCACTGGCCAGAAGTTGGCTCTCTCCTCTTCTATACTTTGGTTACCTTACAGCCCTTATCCTGCTCCTTACACAAGGGTTTCTGTACTCTCCCCTCTCCTCCCTACCCTGCTCCAGACCCCAGAGCTATTGGTTTGGAGCTTGGTGAGCTCTCACTAGGACTGCTTGGCAGGTAGAAGAAGAGGTCTATTCCAAGAAAAGTCCATTTTGGGGGACAGCTAGGTGGTGCAGTGGATAGAGCAATGGCCCTGAAGTCAGGAGGACCTGAGTTCAAATCTGGCCTCAGACCAAACACCTGACACTTATTAGCTGTGTGACCCTGGGCAAGTCACTTACCCCCAGTTGCCTTAAAAAAAAAAAGTCCATTTTGTCAGAGAAGACAATGGTTTGGTTTTACAGTATTACAGTTCAGCTACATGATGGATTATATAAGTTTTTGTGGGTTGGCATTGGGACCCTAGTCACAAAAATTTATAATTCTAACAGTAAATGCATTCTAAATACTTATACAAAAACTTTTAAAAACATAACCAATTCCCAAGTTGGGGACTATCTACTACAGTCTCCTTAACTTAGGGACTTTGAGGTGGGGGGTGGGGAATTCCCTCCAGTGATGAGAATCGGCAATTCCTATGTAACTGATAGCCTCCAAACCACCTCAGGTGCAGAGAGACTGTCAACTGCCTTTGAGCACAAAGTTATACGTATTTGAGGCAGGACATCTCAATCTATCTGACTTCAGGGCCAGCCATTGAATCACTGTTTCATTCTGCCTTTCAGTTGGGCACTTGCTTATAGAAACAGCTATCACATACTATTTTTTTAAAAATCTAGCACAAATAAACAATGAATGTATGTTCCTGTGGAATCTGTGCACACATATCCTAATGTGACTATGCATTAGGCATTCTATACCTATATGGTACATAAGGTCTATAAGTATATAGAGGGTCAGAACCATGTTGTGGATTGGTTTTATATATAGTATCTAACATAATTCAGAAAGGGAAAACAGGAATAACTCAATAATTCTGTATGTGCAGAATTTTTAGCTAATATGACATACCTTTCTGTAAGACTAAAGATAGCTGGAAAAACATTAAAAATATTTACTGTTACTGATCTGATTAATATCTTAACCCTAGTCTTAACCACCAAGTTATTTTGTAGAATACACTTTTATTTCATTTCTTCTTAAAGAATAATTGTTTGTAAAGATATTTACCTACTAACATTTAACTTTTAACTAAATAAGATAAAGATAAGCTACATTAGGTCTTAGAATGAAGTAAGGAAGGAAAGAAAGAAGAATGGATTTGTAGAAAGTAAAATCAAAACAATTTGGTTTTTAAGTTACATGAAAGACATGACTGTTTTATCTGTCCATATCATGGAGGATGTTTTCGCATGCATATAATAAAAAAAATGATTTATTCATTTCTTATTGGTATTAATTGCTCATGAATGCATTAGCAATTTTCCTTTTTTCCTCCCAAATGACCATAGAAAACTGCCAGAACAATGAATTTCACTTACAACAAGTTTCCAGTAAAACTGTAGGGGGAAAGTAAATTCACCTTACATCTAGAGTGAAAGGATGGGTATACACAGATAATGAGGATTTGGAAATCAATGCAGCTAGGCACAGGAAAGAATGGAAAGAACTGTGACCCTCTGTTAATAACTAGCTAGGTTATCACTATACCAATCAACAAGTGTTTCCTGAGCCCCCGACTATGCTCTTGATATTGTGGAGGATAAGGAAGGAGAAGTGACAAGAGAGACAGCTTCAGCAAAATCTCAAGACTTGTATGAACTGACACAGAGCGAAGTGAGTAGAAACAGGAGGACAATTTACACAGTAATACTACAAAGAAAAAATGTAAGAATTCTGATGTATGCAATCATGTATATCAATCATGCTGATGAATGATCATGGAGCACATTCCCTTCTTCTTGACAGAGGGGTGACAGACTCAAAATAGAGAATGAAGTATAAATTCTTAGACACGGCAAGCATAGATTTGTTTTGCTTATTTGTCACAAGAATTGCTTTTCTTTTTCTAAATGTGGGTGGGGAGGAGAGGGCTAGTAACAGTGTTTTCTCCCCAAAAGAAGAAATAAATAAAAAGAGAGTCATAGAAACATTTTAAAAGTGCACAGAAGAGAAGGAAGTTCAAAGGGAAATTTAGGTAAGTAGGACAACTCTGAAAGTAACAAGCTGAATTTATAATTTATTTTTAAAGCAAACTGCAGTGATTTGTGGTTTTACATAAAATCTTCTCTGCCTGTTCTACTTTTTTTTTGTATTCATGAAAATTCAGATTTATTTAAAAAACAAAAGACATGGTCCTTGAATTCAAAGAGAGCACAATCTAGTAGAAAGACAAAAATCAAACATATGAAGCAAGAATATATAATTAAATGATAAGTGAGGGCTTGCATTATAAGTGTTGTAATTCTAGTAAGTGGGAAATCAATGAGAACTGGCCAGGACATGGGGCATTGGAGAGGACATTTTAGGAAAAGAAAAGTGAACAATGAGAATGTGAATTAGTAATAAGACCAGTCTAATTAGAAAGGAGGGTACAGAAGAAGCAGAAAATGAGTTGGGTAGGGAGAAGATGGACTAAGATTATGAAAAGTCTTTAAAACTAGGCAGAGATTTTATCTAGCTTCAATATGGAAAAGAGAAGAGTCAAAGATGGCTCTATTTTTTCAGTCCTACCTAGATGACTGAAAGAATGTTGGTACAATTTACAGATACATAGAGGCTGAGAGGCACATGATGAAATGTTAAGTTTGGGATATGTCAAGTTTGACCTTAAGTCATTTATTCATAAATTCAGGAAATTTCAAACTTCTTTTTTTTCTTGTTCCTAGTACAATATTGATGTTTAGAGAATAGGAAAAGGGAGATGTAGGTATTCAAAAAGTCCTTAGGTAATCTGTCAGTCTGTCTCTCCTTGTATGTATGTGTGTGGGAGCGCGTTTGCCTGCACCTGTTTGTGTTTGGGGGGAGGGAGGGATGACCACAGTCCCGTGCACTGGCTTGACCCTCCCAGTCCCCTGGCCCCACATGCCCCTTTTGGCTGGCTTGAATGGGGCTCAGGACGCACTTGAAGCCACGTTTTGGCCGCTCTCATCCTCCCAATGCTACAGCCCAGCTGCCCTGTAGGAAACCCTCTCAACTGGGGCAGCCCCAGGCCAAGGATGATCCTGCCAGGATGAAAACCTGTCTGTGCCTAGCCCGACCTCGCGCCCTCTTTGTCCCCGCATTCCCTCTAGCTCGCGCCCAGCGTTCTTCAGGCGTTACACCGGTAGACGCCAAGGGACGCGGACGCCGATGCGGACTTGGACTTGGACGGTGCGGTCGGAGAGCACACCTAGCGGGATCAGCAGGTAGCCCATAGAGACGCGCCCGGGCACATTGTGGCCGGGAGACAAGGTGGTAGAGAGGGGGATGGTCTGGAGCTCCATGCCCTCCTCTGTGCTGGGGAACAGTGTCTGCACCTCCTCTTGCCTGCTCACCCTCATTCACAGGGCTCATCTACACGCTAAAGTCTTGCTCCTGGACGCAGTTGCCTCTGTTCTTTCACTTAACATCTGCCCCCAAATCCCCGGGAACAGCGATGTCCATGACTGAGCGGAGTCCCTCAACCACAGGCTCTTTGGCCCCTGCTTCATCTCCCTCTCCTACAAACAACACCAAAATCGAACAGTCCTGGCCGAGGCGCATTTCCGAATGCCAAGACATGGCATGACTTTCCACCGCCCTCTCGGACAAAGCCCTTTTGTTTTCCCTAGTGGTGTA